CGTTAATAGCTGAGGAATAGATGGGAGGCGAAGAAACGTCTCGGCCACCATGGAGTTATTATTATTCCTGTGGCATTCTCTAGAGATATCTTCGCTATCACTTTCGTTAGAAGTGGAATTGGGAGAAACGCATAAAAGGCTATGTTGTCCCAGGGGATCATAAGGGCATCTCCCATTGATCCCGATTCTATGCCTGCCCTGGAACAGTATAGGGCACACACTCTGTTGTCGCAAGTGGCAAACAAGTCCAAGTCTGGACAGCCCCACAGATGGAAGAGGTCGTGGCATATTTGTCTGTCCATCTCCCATTCGTGCGTTGTTGACATATGTCTGCTCAACATGTGTGCTTCGGTGTTGTCGGTCCCTGCAAGGTGAACTGCTAGAAGCATAATGTCCCTCGGTATGCACCAGTCCCAAATGGCCATCGAGAGATGTGCTAAAGGTGGCGATTTTGTGCCACCCTGTTTGTTGATGTAGAAGACAGCCAGTATGTTGTCCGATGCAATCTGGACAACTTGTTGGCACAGGACAGTCTCGAAAGCCCTTAGGGTGTTGAAAATTGCCTGTAGTTCGAGGACGTTGATGTGCTTCCTTGCTTCCCGTTGGTTCCAAGTTCCCTGAACCCGAAGGTCCGCACATGTTGCGCCCCATCCCAGTAGCGACGCGTCTGTATACAGGGTCTTCGTTGGATGAGGTGTTCGGAATGGGACACTGACAGACAGGTTGCTTGGAATGGTCCACCAAATTAGAGTGTGGAGTATCACAGACGGAATTCGGATCAATTTGTTGGGAGAATCTCGCTGTGGGCAAAACGACGTGTTGAAAAACAGCTGCATGGTCTGCATCCGTAGTCTGGCATACAGGACAATGGCAACTGTAGCACCCATGTACCTCAATAGTCTCTGAATGGATATAGCCAGAACCGTTCCTAGCATTCGGATTCGATGGATGTGGGCACATAAGGTAGCGCGATGGTCCGGAGGGAGGAAAGCTCTTTCCCGTGTGGAGTTGAGATGTGCCCCGAGAAAGTCGATGACCTGTGTGGGAATAAGGGACAATTTTTCGTGGTTAATACATAGTCCAAGATCATCGAGCAAGGCGCAGGTCATGTGTATTGCAGACAGAAGCCCTTGTTTAGTTTGGGAGACAATTAGCCAGTTGTCCTAATATGGGTATATTTGCACTCCCCTTGTCCGTAAGTGCACACATACTGGTGCCATACACTTCGTAAAAACTCGAGGTGTGGTGGCCAGGCCAAAGGGTAGCACAGCATATTTGAACAAGTCGAGCCCAACAGTGAAACGCAGTGAAACAGTGAAACGCATGTGAAGGATGGATAGCAATATGAAAATAAGCATCCTTCAAATCTAAGGAGGCGAACCAATCCTCTCTCTTCAGTAACTGAAAAATACTCTGTAAAGCGGTCATCCAAAACTTTTTTGTTTTGATGTATTTGTTAAGATTCTGTAAGTCCAAAATCGGACGAAGACCACCGTCTCTTTTCGGGACCATGAAGTATCTGGAGTAGAATCCGTGCAATCCCTCCGAGCGGGATAGTTGTCGAATCACGCCCTTGCGAAGCAACTGAGAGACTTCTTCGCACAGTACTGATGAAGAAGATGTAAATCGAATCGGACACGGTGGAGGGACGACATCGAATTCTATCCTATATCCGAAATGAATGATAGACAACACCCACCTATCAGATGTAATGGACTCCCAAATGGGGAGTCGGCCCCCAAAAGGGAGAGGGAAGGTGGTGTGGGGAGAGAGAGAATGGTTTGCCCGGACCATCAACATGGACGTTTGTCAACGCTGAAGCGCCGCCGGCCCTGGGGGAAACGTTGCTGTGGCTGTTGTCTTCGCCGTTGCTGTCTTTGTTGGTAGTGTTTCTGAGGGTGGAATTGTGGACGGTAAGAGGAACGAGGCCCTTGACACTTACGCCTCTGTTGAGGAAGCTCCATGCGGCGTGTGGTCATACACGATTCGTATATCGCTTTTAACTTGCGGTTGGTTTTCTGATGGAATAACCTGGAACCGTCGAATGGCATTCCCTCAATCCTCCATTTCATCTCATCAGGGAAATTGCAATTATGAAGTCATGCATGTCAGCGCGAGATGACATTCACGAGAGCTCTCGAATTGGAATGAGAGCTCTCGAATTGCATAGTAAGTTGCAGGGCCAGTCCTGAAGGGGTCGGTACCGTGCCGGCGGACGGTACCGAAAAAACAGACGAACTCGAGCCCCGGTGTTTGGGGCGATCGGGTTTCTTGGTCTTGTGAGCAGGTTTATCTGCCTTCTCCTTCCTTGGAACTTTACGAGCGGAAGGCTTATCCGAACCCATGTGCTTGCGCTTCTCCTGTTTTTTGGCTGGGGAAGAAGGCGGCACCTGGGTCTCCACTGGAGTAGTGCCTTCAGCCAAAGGATGCTGAGGAGGAGCGGTGGAAGCGGGACGCTTCGGAGGAGCGCTCACAGTTGGGGTGGAGCGTGAGGAGGCGGTGCGGCTGAAGAGGAACCAGGCTGTAAGAGCAGTTGGTCCGACTGCATCAAGGCCTGGTCCCAGAGGAGCTTGGGGAGACGGTTCTCCCTGTTCTTCCATGCTTGCTTGGTAAAGGCCAAGCAATGGCAGCACTTGTCGGTTCTATGCCCCTCGCCGAGGCAGAGGAGGTATAGATCATGCGGATCCGCAGGTGACATTTTGGATATGCATGTGGTGCATTTGCAAAAGGCCGCTCGCTGCGCCATTGCGGAAAAAGAAGAAAAGATGACAGGATAGAGGGTAAGATAATATTTTTGGGTTTTTTGTTTTTTGAGAAGAAAAAGAGAGGGATAAAGGCAAAAGGAACAGTAAGGACTCAAGATCTTAGCGAGGACGTTAACAGGCACGAAGCATTGCGAACGGCAGTCGCAAAGACTGAACAAAATGGCGGACATTCTGCTCTATTTATACCACGAAGGGGGAGGGGAGCGGAGTTTTCCCGCCAAAAACCGTTAGCTTTTTCATCTTCCGGCCTAGGCACTGCACAGGTGCAGCACCCCCATATGTGTGATGCACAGAGGCCACGACGAAGAAGAGACTGAAAGCTGCAAGAGGAATTGGTCTCTGGTACAAAATTTTCATAATGTTTATAAGCGGAATGCTTGATGCAGTTGCCTCAAACATTGAACAAATCAGACAGGATCAGAGTTATGTTGTTTCCTTGCAGAAATAAATTTTAAAGTACAGGTACTCAGCATGATAAACCTTATAGTGACAAAATCAAAGGAAGGTCAAACAGTCAGGCAGCTGTGTTGTTGGGTAAGTCAGTTTCAGCAATTTTCATCTTCACCAGGAGCAGGTCTTTTGTAAAGCTAGTGGGTCTTAACTGCTCATTCAAGACCAAACCATCTCACAATATCCCCTTCATTACAACAGGGGATACTATGTTGTTAGGAAAATTCATTTCCAGTTTCTTTGAGAATTATGGCTAAACTCAGAGGGAACACGAAACAATGATGAGGGCGCTGTAGTCTGGCAAGTCCTGGCTTTGGTACACTATACCACTGCTTACTTAGAACAAGCTGGTATTTGAAAGATACAAATCAAGCTAATAGTATTCAAAACATTTGGAATGTTATTTTGAATTTACGCTCTCAAAAATCAGTCTCCATTTATAATGTTATCTGCTCAAAACAGTTCAGTATCAGTAACAGATAAAATATAAAAATACTAATTCTCACCAACAAATTGGAAAATGATTTCTCTTTATGTTGATTCAATTAAGGATGGATAAATCAGACTATTTTTAGTCTCTGACAATTTTACATATGATCATTTATAAGTCCATTCCACACTGTTTTCAAATTAATCTGTACATACACAAATTTTCTCAAAAACATTTTTCCATCTTAGAATGTATTTGTCTATGGATTTTCAAATCCTAAAACTCCAAACTGTAGCCTAAAATTCAGGGAAGTGCAGAACCAGAAGAACAGCTGTGTTCTGATCTGCACATCAGTTTGAGAGCTGTGAATCAAGTTAGTTTGCTTCTGAATGAAGAGCAACTGAAATCCTCAAACACCTCTAGCTTCAACAGAACAGCTCTAAATGACAAAGGCCTTAAACACAACATTTGTTAACTTCAGAGTTATGAGAAGAATAGTCACAGTTCCTATCACACGCCAAGCACACTTTGGAAGAAGTGGAGAGATTTACATGAAATTTGGTTGTCTGAAAGTGGGAGAGAAACCATGTCTATCTCACTGGTTTCTATGCATTCTATGGCTTTAGTAAGTTGAGTTAGTTCAGTTGTTCCATTCCTTCATGTAATAAGAATGCTGAAGAGCACATTATATGCTACATCCCTCCATATTTTTGCCTCACTGTCTGAATGTTCATGCTTAGATTTCAGATAGTTCATCCCAAGGAAAGAGGTAGTGTCATGTACCACATTGACCTCCCTGCCAAGTATTCAAAAAACTTACTTCATGTGATCTAATAATTGGAACAAGACTTTCATTTCATGAAATATTATTGATTCTATTCCACCTTTTCTAATACAGCACAAATTACTACATATATGGTCACATGTGTAAGGAAGCAAAACTGATGACTATGTATCCTCATGCTAACACTTTAGGACATAACAAGAAACATCTTATTGCCTAGCAAGGTTATTAAATTTTACAAAATATAATTTCACATAGCCAAATCCAAATGAATGCATAAAAAACCTTTACCTAAAGGTGAAGAATAGAATACCTATAGTGGAAGTATTATAAATGATATCCTTCAATGTGTAAAATACTATGAAATTACAAAGAATAACCTACCCTTTGTAATCTGAAATGTTATCTAGAGGGGAGAATTATGAGAACATAGAGCAGAAGTAGGTAATATGGTGCCCTTCCTAAAGTATCTGACCACTGGCCAAGTTGACCAGGCTATGAATACTGCCGCCCAAAACATCAAGAGGAAACCAGGTTTTCTACATTTAATATAAAGAATAAAGCAACTTACACTGAATATCAAGCACATAAAGCATCCTTATCTCCTTCTCCAAAGCTGGATGTTTCACAACACAAGTTATATGTCTTCCTCTAGCAAACCTGGTAGGAACAAGCTTATACTGGCTCTCCACTGTTACAGTTTCATTTGGATATGAAGTTGAAGTGGATTCCATTTCACCAAGGTCACCTTCCCAGAGAACCTCTGCTGCTGGTTTTCCAGTGGCGGCTGTGCAAATTGCTGCAACTGTCTGATTGGCACCATCTATTAAAGCATTTGGTCCCTTTGTTAAGCTCACAATTGGTTCAACTATAAAAAAATAAAAATATCATTAATAATTATAACATATCAATCTAAATAGCATATCCAGAAGGGCCTTTGAAGATATCAGAAGATAAACTTTTTTAATGTCAAGATAAAAGATTTTCTGAGTAATTGAAATAGTGAGGTAGGGTTATAGTTTCATAGAGTAAGACAGTCCAATGTGTAGGTAACACATCTCATTAAATTAAAGCTAAACATTATTTTTGAACAATCAACTGTATGCCTCCAGAACCAAAAATAGTTGTCAGGCAACAAGCTAGCCTGTAGTTTTGTTTTTGTTCAATTATCACACTTAATAAAAACTATCCCTGAAAGAACAAAATATGCTTGACAAGACTAATCTAGTAGACAATGGCACAGTAAGATCATAAGAATAATGATAATAATTGCTGGACCAAACCAAAAGCTCCTCATGACCAATAAACAGTTTTCAACAGCTGCCAAATATCTGATCACTATCAGATACAGTGGTACTTTGGCTCACGAACGCCTTGGTTCACAACCAAATCGGGTCACAAACAAAAATTTCATGAAAATTTTGACGTGGGTCATGAACTCCACATTGGGTAGCGACCAAGATCGCAGCCATCTCCCCACCCCCAAACCCAAGTGGGGAGATGGCCACAATCACAGTTGCATTCGTGCAGGGAAGACGTATGTGATCACGGCCCGAGTGGGGAGATGGCCGTGATCGGGCTGGGGGCGGGGGATGGCCGAGATTGCACCTGTCTCTCCCTCCCCCAGCACACCCCGTTTGCACCCATCTCTCTCTCCCCCAGTGCACCCGTGATTATGCCCGTCTCCCTCCCCCCCATGGGCGCGTACAGGGATGACAGGTGTGATCTTGGTCGTGCTGGGGGGGGGGCAGGGAGATGGCTGCGCTTGTGCTTGGGGTGGGGGGGAAGATGGCCATGATCTTTGTTGCTCTTTGTCACTTTGCTTCACATTTTTCTGATTAAAAAAAAGTTGCAGAATGGATTAACCTTATTTACATTGAACCTTATGGGGAAATTTAACTTGGCTCATGGCCATTTTGGGTCACGGCCAAGAGTCCTGGAATGGATTAAGTTTGTGAGCCAAGGTACCACTGTATTTGCCTCTGACTCTGAAAGTTCTGATTTTATTTTAGACAAGTGAGAGGCACCAAATAAACCTATCCATTCTGAATTTTGTCTGATTCTCTATGTTAGAAAGGAGTATTATTGTCAACATCACAAACTGTCATTATTGAACGTCAACAGCCTTTCAAATAAAGTGGTCATCATTACACTTTCTAGAAGGGAATTCCATAGCGTAAACTATGGAATTGGGCCAGTGTGGCACAGTCATAAGTGTGCTGGACTGGGATTCAGGACATCCGGGTTCTATTCTCTACTTACAGGGTGACTGTGGGCCAGCTGCTGACTCTCAGGCTAACCAAACCACTGGATTGTTTTGAGGATAAGATGTAGAGGTAGAAGGTTATTTAATGGCATGTCACTACCATTTTCCAGTCCCCTATAGCCCAGTTATTGATCTTAGGATACCATTACACTGTATTTGTTACAGTATAATTAATTTCATATTTAAATCATCTAAGGAGTCTTTGGTGAATACCACATGGACCTGATGTCTTGCTTTTAATTCTAAATGTTATCTTGTCAATTCCTTAACATCCCTTCCTGAAGATATCAGTTCAGGCACAGGTTTTGCCTTACATATTTATGAAGCAAACACAAAAAGTTCCTTCAAAATCTCCAGTCACCTCAACCCGTTTTAATTCTGCTAATGGTTTAACCAGCTACCTAGCTAGTTTCTTGATTCTGATGTAATCAAACAGTTTTACATTGCTTGTCTTGATGTTATTGGCAATAGTTATGTGCTGTTAAGTTGCCTCCAACCTATGATGACCCAATGGATGAAAGCCCTCCAAAATGTCTGAGTGATCACTCCATCCTTTGCCTTGAGATCAGAGGAATGGGGACGAGCAGCAGGTTGAGTACAAGAAGCTGCGATTTCATTAGGGCAACTTTGGTCAATTAAAGGCAAGACTGGGGAAAGTCTCCTAGGAAAGGGTACCGCAAGGCAAGGAAGTTCAGGAGAGGTGGATGGCACTCAAAAGGCAGTGCCTTGGAGGCACAGGCCTTGATAATACCACTAGTTAGCAAGGTCGGAGGTGAAGGAAAGCACCAGCTGTGGATGCAAAAAGAGGTGGTAAGAGTGATTAGATGTTAGAGAAACCTCTGAAGGAAAAGGGCACTGGGGCAAATAGACAAAAGGGTATACCAGGAGGAGGAGGAGGCGGCTCATTGCAGAAGGATTCTTCGCAAGGTTACGGCTGATTATGAGTGGAGACTTGCAAAGAATATCAAGAGCAACAAAAAGGGCTTCTATCAACATGTAAATAGCAAGAGGAAGGGGAGACAGGGGGTGGGACTGCTTAATAAGAAAGAAGGATATTTGATGACTGATATGAGGGAACAGGCACAGATGCCAAATGATTGTTTTGCCTCTTTGTTCTCTCCAAAGCAGGGCAGGGGATATCTACATGGGGACCGGATGAGGTCAGGGATTTAGGGGCACAGATTAGTCACCCCCAAAGAAGTCAGAAGCACCTCAGGGCACTCCAAAGGTACCAGACCCTGATGGGTTACACCGAAGGGCACTTCTGAAGTTGGTGGGTACTCTTGCACCCATTGGCCTCCATTTTTGAGGCCTATGGAGAACGGGTGAAGTTCCAGAGGACTGGATGGTAGCGTCAGTGGTCCCAATTTTCAAAAAGGGTAGTAGAAGGGACATGGGGAATTACAGACCAGTTAGCCTTATGCCCATTGTAGGAAAAACAATGCAAAGGCTCATAATAGTGAGAGATCTTGTGATGCTAGATAGGGAAGGGAGGCTGGTGACCACACAACACAGCTTCTACAAAAACAGGTCCTGCCAGATGAAACTTGTGGAATTCTATGACAAGGTTTTGAGGTGGCTAGATGGAGGGGATGCGGCAGGTATGGTTTACCTGGATTTCAGCAAGGCCTTTGACAAAGTACTTGGTTGACAAATTGAGGAGTTTTGGGATAGACTGATGTACTGTCCGATAGATAGGGCATGGCTGACAAACCAAAGGTAGAAGATGAGTATTAGTGGGGAATCATCAGATTGGAGTCCAGTGATGGGCGGGGTCCCCCCAGGGCGCTGTCATGGGACTGATCCTGTACAATCTTTTCATCAATGTCTTAGAAGAGGAGGTGACCAGTCTGCTGATCAAATTCACAGACGATACTAAAATGGGGAAGATGACCACAACTGAGAAGAAGGCATTCAGGATCCAGAGGGATCTGGACAGACTATTGAAGTGGGCCAGTGACAACAGGATGGCATTCAATGCAGATAAGTGCAATGTCTTGCACATGGAGCACAGGAATGGGTGTCATAAGTCCAGGTTAGGGGACAAGTGGCTGGAGAGCAGCACTTGTGAAAGGGATCTTGGGGAACTAGTTGACTGCAGGCTAAACATGAGTCAGGAGTGTGACGCGGTAGTCAAGAGGACAAATGCCACCCTGGGATGTATAGCCAAAACTGTGGCTTCCAGATCAAGAGAGGTACTACTGCCACTCTATACGACTCTGGTGCGCCTGCAACTGGAGTATTGTGTTCTGTTTTGGGCTCCATATTAGAGGAAAGATATAGCCAGGTTGGAATCGGTGCAGTGTTGGGGCACAAGGATGGTGCCAGATTGCAGGAAAAGCCATATGAGGTGAGACTGAGGGAGCTGGGTCTTTTCAGCCTAGAGGAGACTCCAAAGGGATCTGTTGGTGACATATAGGTAGGTAAGGGGGTGCCACATAGAGGTGGGTAGAGACCTGTTTTCCCCTACAGAGGAGGGCAGGCTCACATTTCAACAGAGCAAAACTCAGGGAATGAAGGTTCAATTTGGATGCCAAGAAGTTCTGACAGTTAGGACCCCAAGGTTATGGAATGGGCTCTCACAGGCGGCTGAAGCCCCATTGCTGAGGGTGTTGAAGGATAGGCTGGCCATGCACATGGTAAGCATATTATGAGCAGAGCTGGCTGGAGCCGGGGGTCAGACTAGATAAGGGTCAGGTACTTTCTGACTCACTCTGTTTCTATGTCCTATCTAATGACCTGCTCAGTTCTTCTAAACTCAGAATTGATCCAACACTATTTGGTCTTTCTTTGCCTTTTCAAGCTTTCAGTTTTCCTTAGCATGATGGTTTTCTCCACTGAATACTGCCTTCTCATAATGTCTCCTAAGTATGACAAGCCAATTTTTTCATTTTTCTTCTTAGACTTTATCTAAGATCCACTAGTTTGTCTCACTGTTTGTCCAAGGTATTTGCACAGTTCTCCCCACCAACTTATTTCCAACACACCCAAAGGATTTGATTGTACCAGCCATGGCTTGCTGTGACGACTTTGTCCAGCACTTTAAGGATAAAATTGCTCAAATTCGCCACAAGCTGGATTCCACAATTATTGAGACTCTAGAACAGGAAGTGTCCAGAGCACCATCTGGTCCATCTCTGTTGGATGAGTTTCAATTGTTGCGGCCTGAGGATATGGACAAGGTGCTTGGACTAGTCTGGCCTACCACTTGTTTACTCAACTCTTGTTCTCATGACTGCTTATCAGAACCAAGGATGGGATCTGTACTTGGGTCCAGGAGGTTACCAACACTTCTCTCAGGGAGGGTCGGGTCTGTGCCCCTTTGAAGGAGGCAGTGATCAGGCCTGTCCTGAAGAGTGTCCCTGGATCTAGAGATAGCAGCCAATTATAGAATGGTGGCTAGTATCCAGTTCTTCGGAAAGGTGCTCGAGTGGGTGGTAGCTAGACAGCTCCAGGCACTCCTGGAGGAACGGTTCATCTCGACCCATTTCAATCTGGCTTCAGGTCCGGCTATGGATCAAAAACTTCCTTGGCTGCCCTGTATGATGACCTGTACAAGGAGAGGGACAGGGGGAGTGCATCCCCATTGGTTCTCCTGGACA